TGGTACTGTAGTGTGCAAGTAGAAGCGTAGATTTGCCATCAAGGCGTTGCAATGCGGCCTTGGCAAGGTTCCGGTCGAGGGTAGAGGCATCCAGGCGAAGTCCTCTCTCATGAGCGGGTCAAGCTCCTCAAGTCTTGACCACGCCGTCGAGTCCTCGAAAATCAGTGGCGAACTGACCGGATCACTTGCTGACGGTGTACAGGCTGCGCATACGCAATCTACATGCACGTGGCTAGGCTGGTCTAATGGTGGTACCAGATGGGCAGCATAATCCTCGTACGTAGCACGAGAATCAGCGACTAACGCATGCTCCCCGGTAGTGACATCGATTGCTAGCAAGGCAACCGGGTCCGGCGGAGTGAGGAGAGACGTCGCCCCTCTCCTTGCGTAACTCAGTTTCCCGAGTTGGCTGGACGGGGTATGCGCGCCTTGCCGTTGTCCGGGCATTGTGCGATAGTGAGTACTACACTGTTGCACCATAGGCAGTATGCGTACTTTTGATGAAGGTCATAGACCTCCTTGGTGATCTTATAAGTCGTCCATGGCTGCTGCCCAGCTCCCGTCGCCGCTGTCCCTTGTGTCGCCTTGTTGTTGCGAACTCCCTTCGGATGCTTCGGCGGGAGCGCTGCGACAATTCCTCCATCACTCGAGGATGCTGCTGCAGCGTGGTGGTCGTCGATTTCCTCAGAAAACACGGCATTGTTATGTGTCGGACGTTGATAGGTCTGCTTATCCACATAGTGCGGCTGGGATTGCCTCTCGTTAGTGGCCTTGTCGTCCGTTTGGATGACCAAGTTCGCTCGATCCAGAATGGCCTGGAATGTGGTATAGTCGTACTCATTATCGAGTGCCGACCGCAATCCCGCGCACGATCGCGAGAAGAACTCGGATCGTTGATTTGGAAACGTCAAGTCGAAACCTGCTGTGGTCACTATCTTTTGCCACTTCGTTGTCCAGTCTCGAGTTGGCATGTTCCCCTGAGAGCATGTGTACACCTCATTCATGGCCGCCTTCACGACGTTGCGGACCATGAACCGGGTGAACCATAGCTGCTCGAACTCCTTCCACGTAATATGCGTGTGGAGTTCGACGATAGTGCACTTGTGTGTAGCCGCCAGGTGGTTCATCCATCCCTGCGCTCCTCCAATCAGCTGCAGATATAGTGCCTTCAACATGTCGTCCGCCGGGACCATGCGGCATGATGCTTCCGTGAGGAAACGTTGCCACCATGACAAGGCGTCCGACTTGTTGTARTCGTCGAACTTGCTGATGTCGAAGTGCGGCATCTTGAATGCCTTTGTAGCGGCTTCCGGTCTCGTCTGTAGCTTGGTGATGTCCGTCTTGATGGCGGCCACCATGCTCCTGATCGATTCTGGTCCGTTGAAAGTACTTATGTCGCCGCTGATGGTGACGACGTGATCGATGCGCTCGTTGAGTTGYTTCRTCACGTCTGTCGTGCAGCCTGGCGCTGCTGAGGCGTTAGCCTCTATGCTGTTGACGCGTGTGATAGTGGAATTCAACAGTTGATGCTGTTGCTGCTGCTGCATTGCCTCTGTGCGGATAGCAGTTGTTAACGTAGTCATATCATTCTTGTATGTTTGTCGCTGCGTCGCGYCCGTGCGCAGATGTGACTGCAGCAGTGTTTTATTCCACATAATACCTCTCATCATGCCCARCAGCAAGTTAGCCAGGTTACTTCTCTCTGCCTCCGCCGGTGTCGGGTCTGCCTGCGSTTCTGTAGGCACAAAGATCATGTCTTGGAGTATCGTCGTCCACTGATGCTCACAAGCAATCAAGGACTCYGTGCTGCTGGCATTCCGTCTGTCTCGTGTCGCTGCGTCAGTCTCAGTCGTTCGCTGAGCTTCGGCTGCCGCTTCATTGGCTAGCCGCTGACGTTCTGCCTCTGCTGTCTCCTTCCGGGCCTCGACGGCAGCTACGGCTTCCGTAAATGCCAGTAGCCGCCGACGATAATCAGTTGCTGGCTCACTGGCTCCTCGGACTGGGTATGCGGGATGATCTCCGGTGGTGTCTTGTACCGTCAATGCCGTACTTGATGCTGCTGGAGTCGTCCGTCTGCTGAGTTTCTTCGGTCTTGGAGGTACTGCAGGGCGGGCACGAACTGCGATTCTGGCACTGCGTCGTGGCAGTGCCCCGGTGTCCTGTTCCGTCGACATCAGTCCGAACCGATGCGGTACTTGAGAAGTCCCGGTAATCACAGAACACGGGGGGTAGGGAGAGTGGGAAAAGGGGTAGAACAATCAAGCAATATACATACAATCCCCTGTCCCACTGATGGACTGTAGACACCTAATCAAACAGGAAAAAAAATAAATTTCCCGTAAACCCTTCGAAAAATTCGTAATAAGGAATTTATAACGATTTAATCAATAAAATTAATTAATGATAATTAACGAAATAAATCCGAATGATAATCAGTAAACAATGTTTGTAATAAAGATAACCAATTAATGATAATCAGTAAAACAATGTTTGTAAATAAAGATAACCAATTAATAAACGAATTTGAAAGGTATTATGATTAGGTCTCTTTGAGATCACTATGAGACCGGGAGTTCTCCGTTTAATAAGTGAACTGGCCGGTAGTTGCAATTTAAGGTCAGATACGGCTTAGTGTGCTAAAAAAAAATTCGGAAAATTTAAGAAGAAAAACGCTCGAATTTTCAAAAATGCAAATTTTCGGGAATTCCCACCGTCAAAATCCGATTTTTAAAAGCCTAAACCTATTTTCGGAATGTCTCAAACAAGGAGAATGAAAAAAAAAATTCGCGAAAATTTCGGTCCCAACCCTAATTTCCGCGTTTCGGCGAAATTTTCGGATTTACGATCCCAGAACGGTCGAGTTTCCCCAAGTTGATCTAAAGCCAAAAGATTTTCATAACCCTAATTCCCATACTGTTAGACAACGGAGATCTCAAGAGAAAACGAAATATAGGATTTACAACAGAATGCCGAAAAACGGAATGCTGAATGAAAATCAGAAAAGCCGAATTTCTAACATGATACTGATTCAACCCTAATTACGAATTACTTCATCAGAAATCCTGAATCAAACAGAATGTTGGATTAGTATCAATCTCTCGGATCTAATTAAACAGCATACTGTGTACAACCGAAATCCGAAAAAGGTCCGAATACTGAATTGAAACGGAAATGCTGAAATAGTCAGACTACCGAAAGAAAGAAAATTTGCAACTTTGAAAATTGATAATACTTCAGCGCCGATTTAGAAGATCAAACATGATAACCTAATTCTAAACGAACTTACCTAGTGAGCAGATCCGTTTTGGTCTGCTCCGATACCAAAACTGTTACATACTTCAATGAGTATGGGCAGAACCAAAGATCAACCAATATAGGATGAGCATTTATGCAGCGGAAGTCTGATAACGAACTGACTCACA